CCCCATAATAACTTTCTTTTCCTCCTACCTCTATATTGCCCCTCCCCTCTTCTCTCTCCCCACTGGTAACCACAAGTTTGTTCTCTGTATCTATGAATATACTTCTTTTTTGTTTTATTAACTAGTTTGTTGTATTTTTTAGGTTCCACATATAATTTTGTTGTATTTTTTTTAGATTCCATAATACAGTATTTGTCTTTCTTTGTCTGACTTATTCCACTTAGCATAATGTCCTCCAAGTCTATCTATGTTGTTGCAAATGGCAAAATTTCATTCTTTTTGTATGGCTGAGTAGTATTCCACTGTACAAATGTACAACATCTTCTTTATCTGTTCATCTGTTGATGTACACAGGTTTCTTCCATACCTTGGCAACTGTAAATAATGCTGCTATGAAGATTGGAATGCATGTATCTTTTCAAATTAGTGTTTCTGTTTTTGTTTTTCTGGTGTATACCTAGCAGTGGAATTGCTGATATTATGTTACTTCTATTTTTAGTTTATTGAGGAAACTCCATAATGTTTTCCACAGCGACTGCACCAATTTTCATTCCCACCAACTGTGTATGAGGGTTCCCTTTTTTTCCACATCCTCACCAACATTTGTTACTTGTGCTCTTTTTGATGATAGGCATTCTGATCATTGTAGTTTTGATCTGCATTTCCCTGATGATTAGTGATATTGAGCATTTTTCATTTGCCTGTTGGCCATCTGCATTTCTTCTTTGAAAAAATGTCTATTTAGTTCTTCTGTCCATTTTTTAATTGAGTGGTTTTTTTTTTGGTATTGAGTTGTATGAATAGTTTATGTATGTTGGATATTAACCCCATATAGGTTATCATTTGCAAAGATCATCTGCCATTCAGTAGGTTGTCTTCTTGTTTTGTCATTGGTTGAAACTCTAAATTTATAAATTTTCTTGAATATAGTTTGGAAACATAAAATAACTTTTGTTATAACTGAACATACAGTATTTGCTTAGTGTAAGCATCCATCAATCTCTTCTCACCCACCACCTAAGTTTGGTTATTTCCCTTTCTTTTGATGATTATTTAGGTTAGTGGCCCCCCATTTTCTTTAGAAAAGGCTAAAAGAAGTGTCCATGGGAAGTCCTGTGTAAATCCATTGTGATTTACCAAAGTTTATGAGTGGAGCTTTAACCTATTTCTATTTTTTACTACTAAAAATAATGCACAGTGAATAAACTATGCATTAGTCATTTTATGCTTTTGCTAGCATATCTTCGGCATAGAGTCAAAGAGGTAGGGATACTGTGTCAAAGGGATATACATGTCAGCACATTCAGATATTTCCAAATTCCCCACCATAGGGAGTTACACAAATTTGCATTTATATGCTTATTACCAATATATGAAAGTATTCCTCACAGTCTTGGCTGAAGACTATATTGCCAAACTTTCACATTTTAGCCAATTGAACTGAGTAAAGAGATTATTAGATAGATCTTTGATGGAGTACGTTATGTTTTCCATCTATTCATCTCCACAGAATTGATCATCACAACAAATTTTGTTATTTTTAGTAAGAAGTAAAAGGCAAAAGTGGTATATTTTTCTCTGTGTTTAAACACAGATGAATGAAATAGAATGGTTACAGCAAAAGTGATAGATACATATGGTCATTTCAGAAGGTCTATATTAACAGTGAAAAGGGAAAGGGTGTACAATACAATTTAAAACTCTTTGATGAATATTATGTAAGTATTCAGATAACCATTTGTAAATGTGCAATCCCAAACTGTTGTCTAAGTTTCCCAAGTTTTAGTAGAAAGAAGACAAAAGAAGGTGATTTCTTATCCTGGCTTCATAATCATGAAACAAGAACAGGACACCAAGGGAGAATAGAAGGCTTTGCCAATATATCCTGCAATTTTCTGTTAGAAAATAGAGCTGGGAAGATAATTTCCTGTTGACAATAGGATTGTAAAATCATCTTTCAGTATTGCATATTAAATAAAATAATGTAATCTGGTGCATGTTCTGAGTATAGCAGTTTATTAAGTTAAAACTTATAGAATCTTCAACTTTCAGTGTCTTAATATATTATGTGACTATTTCTTACTCACAAAATATTCATATGTAAGTGTCACCAGTCAATAACAACTTTCTTACACAAACAGATTTAGGAACCAACAGTTCTTTCATCTTGTGGCTCCACCACTACCTTGAGTCATGGGATGTAGAGAACTGAAAGATAGGTGTCTTAGTCCATTCAGGCTCCTGTAACAAAACACTGTAGACTGGGTGGCTTATAAACAACCAAAATTTATTCCTCATACTTCTAGAGGGTAGGAAATACAAGATCATTGTGTTGGAAGATTCAATGTCTGGTAAGGATCCACTTTCTGGTTTATAGAGACATCTTGCTTGTGTGTCCTCAGATGGCAAATAGAGCGAGCGAGCTCTCTGGGATGTCTTTTATGATGGTAGTAATTTCATGCATGAGGGCTCCACCCTCATGACCTAATCACCTCCCAAAGTCATCTCTTCCAAATACTGTCACATTAATGGTTAGTTTTCAGCATGTCAATTTGGGGAGTGTGGAGTACAAATATTCAGTCTATAGCAACAGGTGTCAAAAATAAATCCATCATTCTCCAAAATACTGGGCTAGAAGTGACACTCAACACTTCCACTTGCATTGCATGGGTGAACACTAGACATGTGGCTACTCTTGAAGAATGCAGTGAGCAGTAGGGAGTAAGCAATGATATATATTTTCTATCTGGGAGGCAGTTTCCCTGCAATAGCCCTATAGGTGGAAGCAGAATTCGTGGACCTGCCATAAACAGAAGGGAACTATTAACTGGTGAGTCAGAAACCATGAGCAAGCCACTTCTTTATTGTCTTTATTGATGGAGGAGTCTGGAAATCTAAAATACTAGCTTTTCCAGCCCAAATTCACCTAAGGATGATGAATGATACATTTTTGGATCACAAGATGTGGCTTAAAGTCCTTGTCCACCTTAAGGAGACAGCTCTTTATCCCTTTGGTCTTCCACCATTTTTTGCCTAGAGTATGACAGAGAGGCCCATAGCTAATGATCATGAATATGAAGGTCCTCACATCTAGGAGAGGAAAGATGGAAGGAGCTTGGATCAATGACACTGTTATGAGCTTGCATCAGCCTCAGTTACCTACTTCTGGACTTTTCTGTCATATGAAGATATTAACTACATCCCTCTTTCTTTCAATGATGATTTATTGAAGTTTCAGTTAGTTGCAGCAGCAACCTAACTGATAAATAACTAAAGTGATTGTCCCATCCATGCAATTAAATTTTCCTTGGGACAAAAAAAGTTTTAAACGAACTGCCTGTCTTCAGCTATTTTTGATCAAAAGTCATTCTAAAATTCACACCACCCCAAGGTTCACAGTATTCTTTATCAAGATCAACAAAACAATGTGAATTCAGAATTCAGCTGTTCAAAGAACCCTTGTCACATTAATTAGGCAAAATATTCTCTAGAAAATTAAAAATTAAAACGACCATTATTGGTACAAACAAGTGTGAAAAATATACAAGAAGACAATAAGACCTTTAAAATGACATGTAATAATGTGACAGTTATGTATCATAAAAGGAAATATATTAGGGGGAAGGAAGAAAAAATATTTAATTGGGTGGGAAAGGGAAATCATTATCTGATTTCAAAGATCAGAGCTGTGAGTACACTAGGGACTGGAAGAAAAAAATGTAAGAAATTTGGAAGATAGAAGTGAGAATATAGAGGCGATAGACTAACCAAAGCGTCCTTGATATCCAGCAGGGTGGCACTGTAATACCCTGCCAGGCTGGAAACTAAGAATCAGTTTACAAACAAACAGCCAAAAGATTATGCACCTTAACGGCTGTCTTCACCTCAAGAACAAATGCCCAATAAGACAGACAACTGAGCATCACTTTCAGGAATTTTTAAAAAATTGATTTGAATGTGACAGGTATATTTCCAGAAAACACTCAATTTGTCAATCTAGTGCTTCTGCAGAATTTTACTATTGTTACTGAGGAAGAGATTGTTCCCCACTCTCACTTCATTTCTTATGATGCTCATTCATTGGCTTTATTTGGGGGTTTCATAATCTAGAGACTGAAATTGTGTACAAAAAAATTCATCCCTTTCTGATTTCCACTGCCTCTCTGAGCTTTATGCAATATTGTATAAATAAGGCGTTTATTGCATACATATTTTTAAAAAATCTATACCGTTCTTCCTAACAGCTCCTCATTAGTGAAGACAGGCCCATAGTTTGGATATTAATTTCCCTCTGTCTCAGAGTGAATCGATGCTGCTTCACTTCTTGTTACTGCTATTTATGACCTTCCAAAGTGTAGACCCTTGGAAATAAAAACCATAGAAACATGATTTGCTGGAAAGCAAGGATTCCCATAAAAATTTTTAAAGTTCCCTGACTCACAAAGTAATTGCACATTTTGATTTTGTTACTGTTGTCATGTGAGTAGCTGTTTCTGTAGCCAATTTGGTTATAAAATGTGGCTACTTACAGCACAGAACTGTTTGTTGAACCATATGAATAGATGTTATCTCATAATTGGTATTAATACATAGAAATAGCTTTGGCATGTGGAAATTGGAAGGTACTTGGAGAAACAAACCCTAAATGTCACTTGGCAACAGTTGACGGGTGTTAAATTCATGCGTTTTGCTAAGATTCATTTGGGAAAGAGAATTATGCGTGAAAAATCTCATAATCTTTCACAAATTCATTAATATCTTTTACATTATGTGATGAATTTTTTAAACTCAAGTCTGCAAAACAATTTAGGCTTCCCAGTAAACTCTTTTTAAAATAAGGTTGAAGTTGAACAGAAAACAGGATCTAACGGGTCTGGTGGGCATGGCTAAATTAAACAACTTACTGTGCATATTTTGCATGGTACTTTTCACAATTAAACCTAGGAATTATATTAAGTTAAGAAAAAAACCTTTAAAGCCAGCATTAGATTTTTTTTTTCTTCCTTACTGGGACTTTATTTCCCGGTCAGAAAAGGAGAAGCAGGGACAGGCTCCTGTGTGTTCCAGGCCCAGGCCTGACCGGGGAAGGGACAGGAGGGGAGGGGCAGGGCACGGCTCCAGCTGTGCAAGCTTGGTCCCACAGTTGTCCTGTCTGGGTCCGAGGAGGGCCTGCTGGGGACGGTGGCACCGAGCCTGGGGCAGAGGCGGCAGGCCGGTGGGCCCAGAGGACAGCACATACGGAGGCAATAAATACTGACAGGCCAGGCACACGACTCCAGGCCGGGAGGCCCAGGAGGGACGAGTAAGGCTCGGCCGCTGGCTGTATCCGCCGAGAGCTCTCTGGTGGGTCTGGGGGCTCTAGGCACTGCCCCCTGGGACAGAGAAGGCAGAGGCGTGAGGTCACCCAGCCTCCCAGGTGGGACTGGAGGCCACTGGAGTTTTGGCAGTTTGGCTTTCCTAAGCCCCTGGAGCCGTCCCCGAAGCCCTGGCCGAGGAAAGGGGGTTGGCCAGGCCCTGGCAGGTGGGGAGCAGCAGGGGCACATCCCACATCTTCCTGGGCCTCAGGGCCTGCAGACGGGGTGGGGATTGGGGGAGACCACATGCTCATGCATCACAGGGTTAGAGGTTAGTGACGCCCCCACGGCATACGTTCCACATGTTAAGGCATCGTGGTTAGACGGTTACTGACAGCGATGGGAGGGCTGACCGGGAAAAGTGAAAGCTGAGGACGACCCTTGCACAAGGCCCTCCGTGGTACACCCCACCCCCAAGGTGGGGAGACAGATCGGGAGTCGGGGCAACCACAAAGGCCCAAGGGACCTGAACACCCTGAGACCTCGAAAAAGCCAGGGCCTCAGGGCAGGTCAGGACAGTGGGGGAACCTTAAGGAACACAGAAGGGGAGGTGGAGGCCTGGGTTGGAGCCCCCTCCCCACCCCAGCACAGGCGGAAGCAGCAACGACACGAGACCACCGAGGAGGCTGGGGCCTGCGGGCTGGGAGGAAGGAGGAGGGACGGGCCAGCAGGAGGCTGCCCCGGGGAATGGTGGCGGTGGGGGCCGGGCCCTGTCAGCGCTTTGGTCTGGGGTGGGGGAGGGGTGGGGTGGGACACGTCCGTCTGTCCGTCCGTCCGCCCGCCCGCCTCCTGGCAGGGGGTCAGTCCTTCCACTCCTTCTTGATGGTGAGGTTCCACTCCCAGGGCAGGTGGTCTGTCCTGTCGCCGTCTGTGAAGCGGGACTTGATGCTGTAGGGGCCGCGAGCCAGCGTGCCTTTGGGCGCCTCCTCCGGCGGAGTCAGGAACTCGTACCCCTCGCCCGGGGCCGTAGCGCCCCACCACGTGGTCGGTCTCGTCAGTTCTGCCGCCTTTCCCGTACGTGCGCTGGATGTACTTCACGCCGGACATGACCTCCCGGTTCACCCGGAAAGCAGTTTTTATCCCGTACTCCACACCCTCCTTCAGCACAAAGGATCGCTTCCTGGAGCTCTCCAGATCACCTGCCAGGTCCAGCTCCAGGGGGCCCGGGGCGGTGCTACACACCAGGGTCCGGCGGGTCACCACGACGTCGGGGACGCTGCGGTCTGCGGGCACAGCCACGCGGCCCAGCAGGGCCTCCCTGTACTTGCGCAGACCCTCGTCGTCCTGGTCCAGCTCCTGGACCTCCTGGATGCTCTTCTGGGCCGGGGGCTTGTGGTTGACCGAATGCTCATCCTCCTCGGTCTCGGCCGCAGTCTGGGCCAGCTGCTCGGCCGTGGGCTCCCGTTCGGCCCTGCTCACCTCTAGCTGCGTCCGGGACGCCGGAGTCTCGACCGCGCCGCCCTCGTGCTCCCTCCCGCACGGAATGACGAACGTAGCTGCCCCCAGCATTTTAAATCTCCATTTAAAAAAAATAGAATAAATAAAAGAAAAATTTAGGTATTAAATATATATACTATGCATGTATATTTTCAAACAAGAACTTCAGCAAAACTACAATTATCTCCAAAGGAGATAGTGAAAATTCCCCAAATACATTTAATAGAAAATCTTAAATACAATTAAACCTATCAATCTATCGTGTTAGGAAAGATAGTATTTGTGAAAACCAATCTGTATTTCTACTACTGTTTGCCATGATATTTTGCTACTCCCCTGATCATGGTTTTTTTTTTAATATAATTTACTATGTAGCACTAGAAAGAAATATAAGCCATGATCAACACCCCAAAATAAACAAAAATAAGTATATAAAGAACCCTGAGACTAGTAGACCTGAAAGTGAATTAAGTGTCCTTGCTCTATAATTTAGCATCCAGGTCATCCTTCTATCTCTCCAGCTTTGAATCATATCCCACATTTTAAGATTTTATCACCTACTACTTTTCAGTGTGGATGTTATCTGTGAACTTACTTATTTCTCTACAGTTTTAGGTCCTTTATCATGCCATTCTTTCCATTATTATTTTAAAATTTCAACCCACAAAGAGATGATCCTTCCAATCCTTTGGTCTCTCAATTCCATGAACTCCTCTCCAGCAACAATCATATACTCCATCCAACCTCAGGCTCACTCTCATGACCGAGCCCCAGACCTTCACATGAACAATATCTAGAATGCATCCAGAATCTCAGTTCCAACCCATGACCATCACCTCCTGTCATTATAGCTCCCTCCCCCCTGTATTATTCCAGGTCCAACAATCCTTTGTAACCATTGAGACTGCCAATTTATTAATGCCACAACTTCTTAACTGTCTTTAATTCAACTTGTGTTTTTTCTCCCTTTCTCTCATTCTTCGTCAAATTCCTTGGTCTTCATGAACACTCTGTTACATACAGTCATGGTTCTCTTGCATTATTCTTTTTCATACTCAGTTAGGGGGCAATCCTTCACATTAAGTGCTAGGTTTTATCCTACCTCACCTACTCAAAAACATTGCTCCAGCAATTTCTCTCCCCTTCATCATCAACGTTTTGTGCTAGATTGGATTATTCCCATCAGCATGCAAATATATCATTATTTCTCTGAAATT